GCAAAAGAGCACCAAAGGAAACCTGATGACCAATGTCATGGAACGCATAAGAAGCCGACTTTATGTTGTTTTTGCCAATTCTTGTCTCTTGTAAACACAGAACATGGGTGGACCAAGTTTTCCAATCATGGTTCGAGTGAACAGAGCCAACATTGCAGGAAATGAAATTCATGTTCTCACTCACAGGTCCTTCACCAGGAAACCCACAAGTCTGGTCGAACGTTCCTGTGCCAAAATGGCATGCGCTGGAGGAGTGTTTGGTAACTCCCTTGCAGGAAAGGTGAAAACAAACGAACAGGATATGTCTACGGCAAAAGCCAGTGATTCCCTTAGGGACCCGGTGCAGCCGCTTCTTTTGGACATCGCAGTGCTGTCGCTGCGGGTACGTGTTAACGGAACACTGTTGGCGGTGCGCTCTACGAATTGCAGCTGCCGTGGTGCAGGCTTGCATCACTTGATCTCCCCGAGAAACAAAACAAGGAAACTGAGCTAAGCAAATACAGAGACCAGACAGACAAAGACCTGAAATGACCGAACGGATGCATGCAAAATCCACGGACAGAGAAAGTCCAAAAAGTCCAGAGGAGACAAGAGCCAGAGAGGTGATCGCACCTCGGCCAAAGTCCACTGGGAGAAGACACAGAAAGCAAGGCCGGTGGAAGACCTGCAAAAAGGGGCACAAAGGCACGGCAGGGAGATGGCTGGAACCACAGCCACCTGAGGCTGCAGCTGTAAAGGAGGCAACAGACGGAAAGAGAAGAAGAGGCACCGAGCAAAGTCCACAAAGCAAGCCATCCCCTGCCCTAAGCCATCATGACTGTTTCGGATACTTGGAGGGTGGCGTCTCGCCAGTGACCTCCCGGGATCTTGAGTGACTCGCTGCCAAAATCTGCCGGAGCGAATCTTGGATGGAGTCGAACTTGCCTTCGACGCGGCCCTCAAAAGAGGCCTGGCGCTGCTCTAGTTGCTCGAAGCGAGCTTCAAGCTTGCCAAGTCTCTCGTCGTCAGGCTTGGTCTTGGTGGGCGGCATCACTTATATATATATATATATAAGTAAGAGGTCGTTGAGGTCTTTGAATTGTCGAGGGCTTTGAATTGTTCAGTCAACAGCTGACAGCAGCCGAGTCCACCTGCAGCACACATAGTCTGATACCCAAGTTTCTGGGGTGTGCTCATCTGAGCAATCCTTTTCAGCTTGCCCATTCCATCTTGGTCCTGGTAGCAGGATATCGGCAGCGGGTTCAGTCGAGGGGCCACATCGAGGCATAGATGATCAAGCCTTAGATGAGCACGAGATGAGGTGCAGATGCAGAAACAAGTTTTCAAACACACCGACACACCCTACATACACACCCCTACACACCCTACACTATGGAGGTCCAGGGGGCGGCCTTCTTAAGGGAAAAACGGCTGAGAAGCCTGTGTAATTTGGGTCGAATCTTCCATAGGAGCTTGCCAGAATGAAGGGCTTCTTGCGCAAGCCCTGAGGCAAAACAATGCAAACCAGCTACACCCAATTCAACAACACTAGTACACCGCACTTGGTGGAAGCCAAGACTCAATTGAGGGCATTGTGAAATAGAAAGTTGGCTTTCTGCAAGCCCTCCAGGTTCTCGGAACTCAACGTGACCATCGGGTTCCACACAATCTCGCATCGCGCAGAGATTGTAGAACAAAGAGGCCACCGTCCTCATATCCCCAAAAAATGGGGACGCATGCGCTCAAAGTTCCCTGAACACGCCCCTCATTGCCATCATCAAGGAACAAAGCATATTCATCAGTCGGGCGCTCTTCTGCAATCAGCAAAGCGATTCCACGAAGCCACCGAGCAAGGACCACGGACTCCTGAGTAGTATACAGTATACTTATCAAAGGAAAGGCATCGAAATCGATCAGTTGCAAAAGGTGAAGGCAGTCCAAGAAACTGCTCCATTGAAATGTTTCTGCGCAATGCTCGGATAGGCTCTGTCCGCCCGCAGGCGGGGCTCTGCTTCTTCTTGCTCTGAGCCTTTTGCCTCATGTCCTTTTGCGTCCTCTGCTTCTTCTTCTGCTTCTTCTTCTTGCTCTGAGCCTTTGTCAGCCTCCTTTGCGCCCTCTTGCTCTGAGCCTTTCTCAGCCTCCTCTGCTTCTTCTTGCTCGGAGCCTTTCTCAGCCTCATCTGCCTCCTTTGCTTCTTCTTGCTCTGAGCCTGTGTCAGCCTCCTCTGCTTCTTCTTGCTCCGAGCCTTTTCTCGGCCTCGTCTGCGTCCTCTGCTTCTTCTTGCGCGGACCCCCTCTCACCCTCCTTTGCGTCCTCTGCTTCTGCTTCTTCTTCTTCTTGCTCTGAGCCTTCTTCAGCGTCCTTTGCATGCTCTGCTTCTTCTTGGTCTACGCCTTTCTCAGCCTCCTTTACATCCTCTGCTTCTTTCTCTGAGCCTTTGTCCTCCTCCTTTGCTTCTTCTTCGTCTTCTTCTGTCTCACCCAGCATGAGAGTTTCAGCGGTCAGCAGCGTCATCCGGGCGTTTTCTTCCTTGTTTTTGTTCTTTTGTTGCTTGCCGCCTCGTCGGCGCGAATCATCCTCTTTGCACGCGCCTCCTCGTTTTTTTGCATCTTTTTCAACCTTTCTTCATATTCTTCCTTTTTGACTTTTCTATCCTTTTTTGACGGGCCTTCGAAGTTGACCTTCTGGATGCGGTCGTTGATCTCATCCAGAAGATCTTCTTTTTACAGTTCAAGCAGCCGCTTCGGGGTGGATGCACCCTCCTCGCTGCTTTCGTCTTCTTCCGTGGGGCCTGCGTCTCCAGACGGAGCCTCCTCCGCCTCCTCCTCCTTCTTTGTCTTTCTTTTTTTTCTCACCGGTGTGCTCCTGACAGGAGTTGGAGGTGGAAGCGAATTAATGAGCACCGCGTGAATGATGTCAAATAAGACAGTTTAAAGTATATTTTGGTGAATCTGCTTGTATTTCAGTAAGTGGCCCTCGAGCCGTTCTGGATCCCGCATGTCCTTAAGATATCTTATGACAGGTGACGCTAACCAAATACCAGAACCTTCCGACAGGTCGTTTTTGGGTGCCCCTTATAACCTCGTATATCTTTGAACATTTTGAACGCTTGAAAATCATGGAGTATAAAAACATGGCTTTAGTCTTTGCAGGGTGTGTGACCCCAAGACCTGAACCTGAAAAGGTTTAACTGAAAAAGGATCCTCAGCATTGCAAAGTGATCAACCGATCAAGTTCCATAGTCTTTTGGTCCGAGAATCGCCAAGTCAAACGGCGGAAGCTCAAGTTCCAACCCCATATCCGGCGGCAAGGTGTCCATGATATCCACCGAACTCCTCAGTTCGGCTTGCGATAAACTCTTTCCCCACCTCAATCCCGGAATCCCGGGTTGGAGGGTTGGTCGATGGATGTCGATGGGCCGTCGATGGGAGGGTTGAATCAAGACAAGCAGCGAACCCTTGGATGGCTGCCCTTTGGATGGCTGCGAAGCCCGTTTCTGGCTTCCAGGCAACTTGAATATCGCTCCCTTGCGATGTGCTCTGCCGGCGTGGCCCAACAGTACACTATGGCACCGACGCGCCTTGGGTAGACCCTTCAATCAGGACCACCCAGGTGTTATACAAAGCCGCTTGAACATTTAAATGAGCATCAAAACCTGATTTAATATCAGTAAGGATGCTTGCTCCACAATCCAGGCTTCATCCTTTTCTCTACCTGTGTCTTTGGGGACCAAGTGGATAACCGAGAGGTCATGCACGTTAATCAACAAATCAAATGTTCCAGCAACTAAGCTGTGGGCACGCATTCGTCTTTAACTCAAGAGGATTTGTACTGCGTCGCGAACTCACGTGGTACCATCTTTAATTTGGAGTCCACAAAGGCAGCCCTCAGCCACTGACTGGCTTTTTGCCTAAGATCTCCTCCTGGACACAACTCTTCGTGTTTCCGAACGTAGCTGGCATCCACCCCTCGAACCATTCCTCAACAGGGGAACCGAAACACGTTAAAGCCACCAGGATCCAGCCACCCACCCAATGAGCGGCCAAGATTCCCTGAGAGAGGGCTCGATCTCTGCCGTTTCTTCGTGGCAGCACTGCGAAGGAAAATCTAAGAAATTGAGTGTCAAGTCATGGTTGAGTTTGTCGTTGTTCATGGTTGATCCGCGTGGTTGCGCCACTTGGTAGTTGAACCATGTGGAAGCTTGAGGGTTGAAATTTATCCATGTTCAATTTTCTCTCGAGCCCCAAGCATGCCAGGTGGCTGCGGTATACCGGTGGCCAGGGCACGTCGGCAATTGACCCGAATCGACTGAATCGACCCAGGATATCTTGGTTGGTACATTCCCCAAATCCTGTCCTTTCACAAGTTTCCCTTACAACGTTGTGATTCTATACGAGGATCCCTCAAAAGCACTGGTCAAACACTTAGATTTCTAAGGTTGGATGCACTTGGTATAGTGTTCATTCATTGTCCACCAGTTGCGTGAAGTCCTTTAAGATATAATTGGACTGTGCGCAGCTAGACTGATCTTCACCGGTCCGGAATTGTATGCCTTCCTTCTGCTTCCTTTAAACCCTTTTCCAGACCACCTGTGAGTCATTGAAAAGCATCATGGTGTGTATATGATATTTGTATCGTGTGGAAAGCGATGTACACCTGGATATCCTCGAAGACAATCCTTCTTTGCAAAGCCAGCCGGCATACCGGGGTTACGGCAAACCCCTGTGGTGTTTGGATTTTCCGTGGCAGGAACTGGGATAAGCAGGAGTGTGGAGGAATTGAGGAGTGGACAACATTTTTGGTCAAACGGGGAGCAAACATGGCGATGCGAACATGGCGCCTTTGAAGAGTACCAACACTAACACATCCACGAACATGTTTGTACAAACAAAGCACTGTCCACTGTCCATGTGAGGTTTTTCCCTTTTTGACACAGCGTGGAATCATCTGCTTACGGAACGTGGTCACCCGCCTGGGCGGCCCAGTTGGACGGACTCGTTCGGAACCCGCACGCTCCCGAGGTTTGAGAAAAAATATCCTTCGATGCCCTTCAGCATGGACCGGAGGCCCTGCGACGCGGATGAGCCGAACCCGCTGACGTGATGGGTTCCGAAGGCGCTTCAAAACGAAGGCGCGCGGCGCTGCCACGGAACGTGCGGAGGTATTTGATTGTCGGTTGGAAGGTGATTGCCAGCATTTCCGGAAGGGTTTTGAGGGCCATCCAGTGAGTGGATGTTCGGGTGCCTATCGGACCTATCCTCCTTTTAGGCACCCGTTTGTAACGTTTATTGCACTGTTCATCGGTGACATGACTGGAAACTACGGTTTTTTTAATTGTTCTTAATTGGAATCAAAAATCTGCCACAAAACGACTGGCTGTCTCAAACTTTTGAAAAGGCAACTCTAGCAATCCTGACACTATACAAGTGCTTGGGTATGTTCGAGAATACAAAAGTGGCGATGGAATTCCGAAAGTCTAGTGAATCCCTTCTTAGGCCCGCCTTTGTTTCCAACCTCAACATGTTCAAACGGCTCGATGCAGCCTTGGGATCCCATATTCGTAATCTGGGACAATTTGCCTGCAACCAACAAACTACAGGTCTTTGTCTCAAAAATAAACTCCAGCGCAAGTCTTTTGCCTATAGACTTGAGGTTCAAGTTCCTGCAAAGTGAAAAAGCGGAAGAGTTGCTGTGAGAATTGGCAGATACACCTTTCTAACAACCCGAAGGTCCCCCCCCACGTAGACAGTCATGGGGATTCTTGTAGAGGCGCTGGCACACCAAGAAGAACGCGACTTGTTTGTGGTTCGTGTATGGTGTTAAGCTTTTTGAAACGTGATGATTGCCCTTGAAGAGGGAGAGTCCTTCACAGTGTCAGGATGGTCCTTGTCACATGATTCAAGGCAGTCCTTGCAGACAAGGCTTTGGGAGAAGGCTCACAACTTGGAATGCCAAGCTACTATGGTTTGGAGCTACGGCTGACCGAAGGTGATTACCACGCCTTCACCATGGTGGTGGGGTACAGAAAAGGTTTGTACATGACACAATGACACGTAAATGGCAACTACCCAAGAGGGCTAATACATGCGAAAACGAAACAGCACAGAACAAGGAGACAGGCCGACAGGAACCCAAGCAGGCAAGAAGTGCGCTACAGTGTCTTGTACAGTTAATTGCACGATGCGTTTTGAGTTTGTTATCATGTGAATTGAACATCCTGTTGTGACGCCTCAACCAGCTCAAGCCACGAGTTGAACACGTGCTTTTAGCACCATGGTTTGAAAGTTGGGAGGTGTTATCCAAAAAAACGCGAGTAGCTGACCCACAGACCCACAGACATTTGATCAGCAGCTCCAACTCCACACTTGATTGTTGTTACAGGCGAAGACCTTCGAGATGTGAAGACAACGGTGCGAAGAAGTGACGATGCAATAGGAAGTGCGGTGAAACACCGCATGGGTTGGTTGAGGTGTGTGTTTTGGCCAGACCCATCTATATATATATATATATTTTTTTTTTTGCTGGCACATGGCACAGACAGTCTACCAGACTCTACCACCTCTTGAATTGTCATAGACCCAAGTCAATCACTGGACGAACCAAGAAACCCGTGGTGCAAGTCGCCACAATAAACTGTACCTCATGCGTAAGCCCCGTGGCAAAGACCACGCCCAGCACCGCCGGCGTCGTCGGAAAAGGGGGCCACGGGTGACCGCTGTTCAGCTAGAGCTTCATGCCTAGTATGTCCTTGACAGGGCAAACCTGCATCAACTGAGATCATATAAAATCCGTGACAATCCACTTTGCATGTGTTTGTCTTCGTTTTTTGAATATATGTTGGTATTGATGTCTTGAGCGACCAGAGATCGACCCTTTCCCCTAATTTTCCGTGGTCGACCGCAGAGGCATTTTGCTCAACATCACGGCCTCTGCACCTGGACGTTCCTTTCCAACCTGGAAGGTGTGAAAACGGCACACGTTTTCCACCAGCCGCGGCGGCCGCGTTTGCCGCGTAGAAACCATTTCCCGACTTCGCGTGACGCGGCGCGGAAGAGAGATTGACGAAGATTCTCCATCTTCTCCCGTTCAAAAAGCAGATTCTACCCATCCTGCATACGGGCACCCAGAGAAAGCTCCAGGGCTCGGGGGATATGTGTTTGGGCAACTGGTGTTGCCATGGAAATGAAATCGCACTGGTGGATGTAACTCTTAAGCAAAAACCAAGAATGTGGCTGGTGGTGTTGGCAGATGTGTTTTCATATCAATCTGCGAAGGACTCCATTTGGGCGTGATGCTTTGAACAAAAAACGCCGCCAGGGTTAGAACAGAGGTGGAGATCACCTTCATCTCCATGAAGGGCTCCTGGTGGGAGATCTGTTGAACAATCCAGTTTTGCATCAAACCTTTGGCGCGAAAGGGGCGGGGAGCCGGGAGCCGGGAGCCTGGCGAGCGAAAGGTCACGTTCAGCACCGCGCAGCCCTTGGGCGATGTGGGGAACGCCCAGAAGAGAAGATGAATCCTCCAACATGTCTTCTATAGCTAGCTCATGCTAGCTCTTCAGGTTGTGGTGCTTCAAATTCACCCGCTGCACAGCAGTTTCAGCGTAGCACATGTGTTCGTGTTGTATTCTGATCAGACACCTGGGCGGTTGGCAGTGTTAGTTGCAGCAGCAGCAGTGGTACACTGAGAGCAGTACTGGGGCAGCAGCCAACTCGAGCCGTTGACCATGATGGTCTTTCCGACAGCTATACTACTAGGGGGCGCATGAAGCACATCGCCGTTGCTGGTTATGGCTGTTGTTCAAACAGTTCTTGGTTTCTCCAAAAGTGGTCCCAACATCTCCTTACAGCTGGATGTGTCCCAGCTGTCATTCTCCTCATCCAACACCTAACCGATCCCTCCCAGGTCCTACGTGGTTGGGCCAACACACGGCTGGGCGTGGACCTGACAGAGCAGGCCGCGAAAAAGAGCAGCACTTTTATTTGTTGAAGCATCATTTAATTTGGAGGTACCTGGGACCATTTAGGACCCTATACCCTCAAGATCCACAGACTGAGTCAAGCCCTCAGACGTGAATTAACCCCTCTCAAAAATCAGTTTACACCTCCAGATCCCTCCAGTCATCCCCTCAACTCCCAGTCACACTGTTCTCCTCAGAGGTGAACTAATTGTGGATCTCTCTAGGGCAAAGTTGACTAACTGTTTTGAAAAACCAATATATATATATATAATATATTATATATAATATGTGGGGTGGTCAAGAATAGGCAATTTCTTGCAGATCCTCCCAAATCTCCTCAATTCGTTTTAGATGACTCCAGGAAACCTGTAATCCACCTGTTCCACTCGCCCGAGACGGTGGCTGGGGACGTGCTGCCGCCAACCCACCACGTGCAGGTCCCGGAGAAGGCGCAAGCGTTGGCGTCCGATGGATCCGCGCTGCCCTTGACCGAGTCCGTGGGCAGCCGCGCACTGAGTCTGCGATTCTGCAGGTTTCATCAGCGATGAAGGCCTCCATCTTTGCTGAATTAGGAGGCCATTCATGGCCATTCGGCTCCCTTTCAATCGCGAAAAGGTCGGTCAGACTGAATCCACTGAACTGCGATCGCAGTGGCACACGGGATGCGATGAGTCGGACGCAACTGAGCGAAGCACCAGTGTTTGACGGTCAAAACCATGCCGCTTTTCATGCCACACTGGTTGGAGGGTAAGGAGGGCAGCATATTTGGAATGTTTTTGGAAAGTCTTACTGTTCTTTGTTGTTTTCAACAACCTTTAAACCCAGATGTGGGATGTTCAAGTAATTATCTTCCAGACGCACCCTTATTGAGTCTTTTGTGGAAGGGAACCATAAATATATTTTAACCAAATCATTACGGAACAGCTCAGTAGCTGAGTAGCTGCTGTAGCTGTCTTTGTCTTGTGGAGGTGGTTGTGGATTCCCAGCCATGTGGTGCCATGTGGGTGTGTATTAAAATAGAAAGACCTCCCAGAGACCTCCCGGAAAAGGGAACATAGACCAGTCTACCCACTGGTTGTGTGTCCCGTGATTAAATACACACCCATCCTTGGAAGACCCAGTGACCCAAGGAACGACACTTTTTTCCATATCCCGAGCTGTGAGTGGTTGGCCCGAGCTGGGCCAGTCTGGGAGAGATCGGCAAAACAAGGCCCAAGCTTAGGCCCAAGCTTTGTTGGGTGTGGCTCGAGCAGTATGACCCAGGGACCAGGTGGTTTTAGTATGTTTTAGTTTACTGACGTCTACTTTGCCTTTACAAGGGTTTGGATGGTACATGATGGTACGTTGTTCTTCAGCCGCGACCATAACAAAGAGTTCTCTAAGAGAGTATGAAAGGAGCAGAGCCTAGCAAGACTCTTCCATGAGTTGGCTGAGTTGAAAAGGACTTCAGTGGCTTCAACCGATAATATAATCATAGTTCATCTAATGTATTCTAATAATAAAGATTGGACACGTTTCCTTGAACGACCCACTGTCTTTGGGGCTGGCAAGTTTCTCAGCTCTATTAGCTATCGAACGAACATTGAACGGTGGGACGGTGGGACCATTCCTTTCATTCTGAAAGTGTACACTGTACATTGTACATACATGTTGGGTGCGGATTCGTGCGTTCACACCCGACACTGAGGCCTGCGCGAGAAGCTCCGCATGCGACAGGGCATGGGTCCGAGGAGAAGGGTGCCACTATGCATGCATTCTTTACAAGTTTCTAGCAAATACTGTGCCATGAATCATTATCCTTTGACATATTCTCTCAATTTGTACTAGCCGGGCTATCAACTGGAGCTATCACCTGTTACAATATCCCAGGTTCAAGTTGTTTTCATGTATTCCCAAACCTGGTGATCGACAGAGGAACTGAATCTATCAACAATCTAAAGTAATTTGGGATTTCTACTGTACCATCCTGATCCATCCTGTGCCTTTTCGGGAGATGCCTCCCGGTGCCTAAAGACTTTCGACCGCTGACCTCTTCGTGCCATCTTCGTGCCGCCTGTGAGGTGCATACACCTTAGATGTGCTGTGGCCAGCTGAAGCATTGTCGCCGTCCCAGAGAGAATCGAAGTCACCAAAAGTCATCGCA